CTAAAGTTAACGACAATTTCCAGTTCCTTTGAACGCCGCAGGGTTTATCCATTTATCACCACTAAAGCTAATTATTACCCTCCTTATTGTTTTACAATTGACCGTTGGGTAAACCAACAGTTTTTTAATAACACCTCGGTAGCATTGTAGAGGCCCAGCCAAACGCAGGCAACATTTCAACGGAATGTCTTGCAACATTGTTGGATCGTGTTAGATGTTGTGAAGGGGTTGACAAAACACGCGCAGCATCTTGCAACATCCGAAAATGTTGTAACAAAACTTGACCATTTTCAAACCTTGTCCAACACCAACTAATGTCTTGCCACATGTTGCTTCAGGTTGGCCAAACGTGTGCAACACGTTGCACACAACAATGTTTTAGGATGTTGCGTTGAAAAGTTGCGTGCATTTAACCGTGCTTTTAACAGATAGCTTAACCGCAGAAACCGTCGTTAGTCTAACGACAGAAAAATGTAATTCGTAATGATGTTTTCCTACCACTAGAATTGATTGAATCACAGGGCCAAATTTATATTTCAGAGGACCACGTGTGCATTGTACCTGATCATTAATCGACTGGAAAGAACATAACTCACCTCGTTCTCGACTGACTGAGCACCAGTGAAGCGAGAGTGAAAAGGAAAAAAGAGAACAGCACATAGAACTGTTCAGAGCAAATGTAAACGTGGCGCCTTGGTCGTGACTGACGAGGTACATCCTAAATTTTACATGAACTACACTGGGTTAAACCGTCTTTATGTCAGTATCTGAGCAACTACCCCTTCCCCAACCCTAAAACAGTCAACTGCTAACAAGCCATGGTTACTGTTGGGTTAGGGAAGGGGTAAGTATGCAGTTGCTTAAATGATGGTAATTAACCATATTACCAATAGACGTACTTCTTATGTTAATAAACGTTAGTATCATGAAAAGCGAGTCCTTAATAAACCACTTTTCTGATCTTTGAGATGTGGATTATTCTGAGCACATAATAAGCCCACTCTTCCTTAAAATGTTTGAATTATTCCAAGAGTAACCCCTCTGGAAATGCAATACTGTGCATCAACAAAGTTTTGGTCGAAAAAGAAGTGTCTGTAGCATTCGTCGTGTTATGTCGGTCGTAATACAGGTCAAAGGAGTCACAAATCTGCCCGAGGCACTCTTCGATTGATTGTCCTAAAACCAAAACCAAGGAAATCACATTGACCAATCAGAAAAGATGTATCTAAGAGCCAATAAAAACTCAAAGTAGAAACAGCCAGACTGCCTCAAGCACAGAAAAACGCGGGGTGCCTAGTTGTGATTGGTTTTTGATTTTGCATCTGACGGTTAAGAAAGTGGCGCGAGTTTTCTGGACCAACCACACAGCGAAGTAAATATCCCGGATGACTTTCGACGCTTACACTACATAATCAATGACGTTAAATGTGCTGATAAAATTTTAAAATTCGTGGTTATTACGGTTGCATTTGTTGTCTTTAAGAAAAACGAACAAACAAGGAAACATTCGTAAGACAAGTTACTTTTATTTCAGTAAACACTGAATGTTACAGTTTATTATTTATTATTTTCAGTACTATGCTTTTCAGTGTGAGACGTAACGGTGATTCCTTTACATATGAATCAGCTCCAGGCCCTCAGTTGTGTAGGACGGTCTCGTACATAGCTTGTACGCCCATAACAACATCCATGGCTCGCGTCTTCAGCGACAACTGTTAGAAAGACAAGCAAATTTTCGTTACTGTTTGAAAATCATATAGGTGATCTGTTTTTCGAGGTTGTGTGGTTTACCTTGGGTTCAATGCTTTTTTCTACAAAGCGAGAACGACGGGGAATGGATCACAAAGAGTGCTGAGGACTACGTATGGTAACTGATAACTAACAACTAACAACCTCATTTTACGTCGGAATGTAGGGAATGGTGGCGCAGACTCAAGAGCCGGAGGCTCGTGGACACTGGTTTGAGGGCGGAGGAGACAGATAGATTGGGTGAATGGGTTATGAAAAGAAGCAGGGGAAGGCACAGAAAATATTTCGTACGACTTCGAAATTAAAGATCTGTCATCATGACTGTGCTGATCCTAAAAGTTTGTTCTTTAAAAAGGGGACTGAGATTTAAAATTGTCTATAAGGATAGCCATTGCAATGTAAAACAAAACAATTATTTTAAGGCTTCATACCTGCACCACAGTGTTACCAGGTTGCATCTTGAGTTCGGCCAAAACCCAGATATTATTGGTGAATTTCAGTGACTGGTAAAGCATGTCCTGGCGAAAAAATAACAAAAGTTGGAAAACATATCATGGAAGAAAAAGCGAACTATTATTGCTGCGTTCTTTGCGCTCGGACACCCACTGCTCTTGCGAACAAGGTCAAAAGTATAAATTGGTGCACTTAGCAGAAAGCGCCTCCCTCAAGCTTTGTACTGTTGAAAGTAAAGTGGAATTTTTCAATGAGTAAGTGCATTTCAAAATTGAAATGCTGGGAATTCAAGTCACTAGAGGAAAGCAGCTTCTTTGTGCAAAGGAGATAAAAGAGTTTAGGGCCACTAAGAATGTGAATAGTTCTTTTTTGATGAATGAGTACATTCTCGATTTTTGTACTTCATCGTTTAATTGATTACTTTTTCCTCCCCAAATTCAGTCATCGATTGTTGCATCATATCATTTGATTAAGCAGTTTAGTCACACGGACGTGCAGTCCTTAATTCTGAACCAGCCTGTGAACTTTAAGAATTGGTCAACTCTGTTTCATTACCTGGCCTTCCACTGTACGTTTTGCGATAGTAAATATGTTGTTGGCAGAAAGTTTCTGTTGAGCAACTTCTACAGAAGAAAGCGGAGGCAACGAATAAAAAATGATGTTAGTGCAACATTCAGAGACAACATCTACTATCCGGTGCACATATGACAATCTTACCTGAAGAAAAATTTACATTGGTGATTTGATTCTGAACTTCATTCCCTGCAGGTATGTCCTTCCACGTGGCTAAAAACACCTTGCGATCTGAAAGAAACAAAACAAGAAAATTTTGAGAAGTTTTAAATTGTTCTGCATAGATATGATTCAAATAAATAAATAAAGGAAAGAATAATATCAATAATAATAACTAACACTACACCCGATCATTTTTTTAAAAATTTCCATGAACAATGTCGAGTTCAAAGAGTTTCAAACTAAGTGGCTAAACCCCCGAGGGACAGAATTAATTGAAAAACTGTACCAGCGTTCACATAAGACGCCACATCACTGTTAGTTCATCATGTAAAATCTAACCCAGACTTTACATGATGATCGTTTCCAATCAGAGAAAACATTCTCCCATCCTTACCCGACCTTGTTTCTTGTCAGTTGGCTCATTTTGGTTTATTTCATCTGTCCTGGATTATTTTACGGCAAGAAAATTCTTAGAACTCTAAAATGTTACTAGCTTAAAACAACCTAAGTAGTTTAATAAAGCAGATTTTATTAACCCCCACCCCTCTCCCCCAAGCAATGTTGAAATACAATAGTAAGGTCTACTGGAGGATAAAAATGAACCTTGTATTGCATGTGAGGGAGGTGACACAATAACAGGCACCATAAGTCCACAAACTAGTGACGCCGGTCCCAAGAGTGTCTTTCGATATTGTACAACTGCGAACAGTACCAGTGCTTTACATCAGCCAAGAGGAGGCCCGGAACTAAGTTATTAGTAAACCTACTTGGAAATTGGCCTGGCTCGGTTAAAATAACCCAGGGTTAGTGTTAAAATTTGATTTCAGGTCTGAAAGCTTTAGAGGAAATTTCAGTTCAAATCTTTTGGCTTGTCATTTGATCATTAGATGTTCTAGAAAAAAATAGAAAAATTTTCCCTAAAAGGCTTTTGAACAAAGAAATAAAGAAACCTGGATTAAAAATTTAAGCCTAAGTTAGCGCTAGTCGGCCTTCGAACAACTTGGCCCAGATTCTGAAACAGTAAATAATGTTCCACTAAGTCGCGGTGGCCTGGGTAAGACTCACCCATCTGGCCATCTTCTGAAAACAGCACGTTGTAAGGAACAGTGCAACTGAAGTAGAACACATCCACATTATTTTTAACAGCCACCTGGAGGTTTGTAAGTGGGTCCATTCTCAGCACAGCGCCATCTAGTCGGAAAAAAAATTTGAAAAATAAGAAAAAATGTTACTTTTATTATCAAATGGTCAAATTAAATTATTCCACATCCCGTTACAGATCAGAAACCTCAACGAGGAGCAAGAAATGCAGTTGATGTTAGCCCAAATTGGGCCAAGCCTCGGTCCCATACTACACCCAGCTGGAATTTAGAAGGCAGGAATCCGCCAGAAGTGATTGCAGTATCGATGGACTATTATTATCATCTAAATATTGTACGTGATTTACTTCGTAACATATCTGTGTAATACACTTCCTCGATTACAGTCCTTCTTTCAAATACGCGAATACGAACATGAATTAAAACAAACTAATAGCAGAAAATCAGCATCCCGCGTGGGTTATATGGAAAGTACGGTCTATTGCTTTACTCAACAGCGACTTCGTCCCAGTGAAAAACCGATAAACATTCACCTAGCGGTATCTTAACAAGATTTTTAGCCCTTGTACTCCCACAGTAAGTCATCACGTAACTACTTATAATTTCAGCACACTATCCAGCAAACTGGTTACGAGAATACTAAATCTTGTCAGCTGGGGGGTGATTCTAGCAATAAAAAATCTCTCGACATTACTTCAAGGAAATATATAGAAGGCAGACGAAAGAATAACCAGATAGATCTGACCACTCACAAGTTGACGTGTCACTTGTACTTCAAATCGAAAGTTTACGTACTTGTGTTTACAGGAAGCGAAGTTTCCGCGGAGGAGTTGGCGAGCAACGGCGATGG